GTTCCCCAGCCGGGCTGGGAACGGCTTCCATCTGCCCCACTGAACCCGGCGCTGGAGCCTTCAGTGCCCCCCCCCCCGCTGAATCTGTGAGGCACTTGGAGGGGAAAGTAATCTCCTACCGTCACGCTGATGCGACCGCCGTTGTGGCTGCAGGATCTGCAGCTGGAGTGCCCAGCACGCAAGCACATCCCATTCCGTAAGACTGGTTTCGGCGGCCTGGCATTCGTGCGACCCACCATGTGCTCCGTCAGCCCTTGCCTCTCGGGACTTCCTCAGGCTCCCGCTGGGACCCGGGACGGTCCAGGGCAGTGGTGCACGCTCCGCTCTCCTGTGGCACAGTCCCTGCTGTCTGCAGCGAGGTGGCTGTGTGACTTCGCCTGAAAAAGCCCTCCCTGCATTTTTGCCAGCTGCTCACTTTCCCAGGTTGCCCGAGGGAGCGGCAACTTCCCAGCAGCAAGCCTTGCGTGGAACGATCACACGGAAGGAGCTTGGGGATGGGATCGCCTTGCCCGCTGCCATGGCTGCCTGCTTGCCACCAAGCTCCCAGGATCCCTGTGAGGCCCGGCAACTTTTCCGGCGGGTTTCCCGCCTGCTCCTCCACCCTGTGACTTGACAAGTGTGTGTCTATGACTTGGCATTTATTAAGTTAGCACTCCTGGTATATGGCAGACTCGAGCCATCTCATTCCTGCAGCTGACTGGCATCCCCAGGAAGTGGAAATGGCAGGGGCACGCAAGTCCTGAATCGCACTTGGTGCTCCATCCAGCGAGAGGGATGCCGCGAACGTGGCTGGAAGGGAAGCTGCGGCAGAGCCGGAGGCGCTCCGCACACCTTGGAGGCAGAGCGCTTCCCCAGACCTCCCACTGGGTGCGTGTGCGTGTGCGCGGGTGTTTATGAATCCATTAAAGAGGTGATTTATATTCTTTCGTCTTTCCTTGTTTCAATTCCTGTTCAGCATGCCCAGGGGACTGGCAAGTTAATTGGAGGGAGCCTGGCCCAGATGGCTGATTGAAAGAAATTACTCACAACATTTGCACAAAACATTCTGAAGAAGCACTGCGTGGAAGCTGTCCCTGTGCTCCAGAAGGCAGCCTTGCCAAGGGTGGCCACTTTCTCATCATCAGAATGAGGAAATGCGCCCTGAAAAGGCAGCCGGGAGATGACACGGCTTTACATCACATGTGCACAGGCCAATTTGCTGGTGGAGAGGCATGCAGAGGTGGAAGGAACCGCTGTAGCTTAAATAGAAATGCAGTCCACCGCCAGTGAGGAAGGCTGTGGGAAGCCAATGGCCTGCTCGGGGCTGGCGTGGGGTGGGATGGAGCGTGAAGTCCCTTCCCTGGAGGAGTCAGGAGTGCCACGGGAGGGCCCCCATTTCCGGAGAAACGCCTGCAGAAGGCCACCAGGTTGCCTTGGAAGGCTCATTGTGGCCCCGCCAGTCTCTCGCTGGAGGGAGCGGTGCAGGGTGACTGAGCCGCGGCCTCTGTGTGAGCCAGGACCAGGCAGCCGATCTTCCTCGCTGAGCCAGGCACTGCAGGATCAAAGGGGGAGCCTCCAGACAGGCACCTGGCCAGGTGAGGCTGCATCCGGGTGCGGTTTTTCCAGAGGATGCCAGCGGTCACAGCAGCCTGGCCTTCTGCCTGTGGCTGCCATTTCTCAGCAGGCCCCCCACCTTCGGGTAATCACTCTCCCAAGGTGGGGGGTGCTGACGATGGGGGAGGACTGGAGAAGCCCCCCAGCTGGCCCCAAGGCTGCATGGCGTGCCCCTTCAGTCTGCAGCTGAGGCCCTGTGCATCTCCGAGGAGGCAGCCTGTGTGGGGCTGCCAGGGGTGAGGCTGAGCACAGTGGCTCTCCAAAGGCTCCCTGGGCAGTTCAGGGCGAGGCAAGACTTCAGGCAGCCCCTCGCAGCTCCCGCCCACTCCCCACGCCTGGCCCGAGTCCCCCAGAATGCAGAGCAGCCCCTCCTGGTGCTCTGCATGGTGGCTCGGGGCAGAGGTGGGAGCCAGGGAGAGCCCGATTCGGAGCTGCAGAAGGGTCTGGGGGGAAGGGTCAAGCTGCCCCTTCCTGCTTCCCGCCACATCTGCTCTGGCTGCAACACGCTGAGACCATCAGGCAGAGGGTGGGGGACTCTGGCCATTGAGTTTCCACACAGGTTGCTGCCAGTTTGGTGGAGCTCCTGGGAAGACCTGGACACTGGTGGCTCGAGCATGGGCTGGCTGGCCGGCTGGCCAGCCTTCCCCTCCCGCTGCCGCCCACCGCTTGCGCTCTTGCCGGAGACTGAGCCGGGGTTGTGAGTGTGCACCGGTCTCTCGTCCACAGTCTGGTCACATTTCATGCTGACAAGAGGGGAAGTTATTAAAATAAACGCAGAGAAGTTTATCTCGGCTCTACAGGCCGCTGTGATCAATGCAGTGCAATGGAGAGGAGAGGAGAGGAGAGGAGAGGAGAGGAGAGGAGAGGCGGCACAGGTGCTGGGCCCGTTGGCACCGTTCAGTGACACTAAGGAATCCATCCCAGTGCTGCCGGCCCATGCGCTGCAGTGTCGCCGGGGAGAGAGAGGGAGGCCGAGGGCTGGGGCACTGGTGGCCCCGTTCGCTGCGGCCAGGAGCCTTAATGTTTGCGCCACCAGCAGCAGAGGTGGGCGAACTGTGGGCGGCCGGGTCTGTCACCAGAAGCCAGGCTGACTTCGCGGCTCAAAGGGGCACACAGTTTGCTCATATCAGTGGAAAGCCCCCTGGGGCCCCTTGACGGGGGCTCCTAGCAGTCCAGGGAGAGGCCGGCCGCCGCTCGGCCGTTTGGCTCCTTGGCTTCTCTTCCTGGCAAAGGGAGCATGCTGGTGTCCGCACCGCCTGTAAAATTCTGCGAATTGACCAGGGCACTGGCACAATCTGGAGGCCCCTTCGGCTGGCCTTTGCTGCAAGGCTGGCCCTGCCTGTCCAAGCACAGCGTCCCCCAAGCAGAGGCAGTGAGGAACGGATCAGTCCAGGGAGAGCAAGATGGTGGAAGAAACTGGCCCAGTCACCACAGCCCTGGAGTCGGGGCTGTTCCGTTGCTGCTGTCTCTGTGTGGAGGGCGGCAGGACCTGGGCAGGTAGAAGGCGTCTTCATCTTTCCTGGACACCCTCACTGCCTGGGACATCCCATTCCATATTTAAGGGGTCCTAAGCATCAGGAAGTACTTCCTGACATCCAACCTGGAACCCAGTTCCTTGAGCTTTGCCCCACTGGAACGTGTCCTGCCCTCCACTGCAGGGAAGAACAGGTCCTGGCCCTTCCTCACATGGCATCCCCTCACATACCTATAAGTCGCTAAAAGATCCTCTCAGGGTCTGCTCCAGGATGAAAAGGCTCAGTTCCCTCAATCTCTTCTCATAAGTCGTCCCTCCCAACCTGGCTACCATTCTTGTGACCCTCTGCTAAGCCAATTCTAACTGAGCTATGTCTCTCCTATAATGTGAAGCCCAGAACTGGACACAGAACATAGAAACAGAGCGAGTCACAAGGGTCTCCTGGGCCATCTAGTCTGACCCCTGGCTCCAGCCGGCTCTGCTCACGACATGCCCACCATGTGGACATCCAGCCTATCCTTGAACACCCGCACCGATGGGGCCTCAGCCACCTCCCGTGGAAGCCCATTCCACACCCTCTGGGTCCTAACTGTCAGGAAGTGCTTCCTGGCATCTAAATGGAACCTTGGCTCCCTGAGCTTTGCTCCGTTGGAGCGTTTCCTGCCTTCCTCTGCAGGGGAGAACAGGGCTCTACCCACCTCCATG